GGAAACCTTCGGGCCTAAATAAACGTTTCTACAGACATGTACCCGGAAAAATACTGTCAAAATTTTACAGGAGCACGTACAGATGTACTATGTGAATGCCTATGTTCGAATCCCCAGAATCAATTTTAACCATAGCATCACACGGATGTTTAAGTTACAAAATATCTTGAATGAGAAACCTTAGTGTAAATAAACTTAAAAAGAGATGTTGTCTCCTGTGGTTAGCCCGATGTCAATGTAATGTGACCGGATTGGGCTTCATGCTAGCATGTCCATGTTAAGAGATTCCTGTAAAATACATTTAAATAAAAGTCTCCGTGAATGGCCGCATCATAGCGGACACTGACTTCAAATGACCCTAGCTAGTAGGGAGAAGCCAAAACACTAGGCAATCAAAGAGATAAGCAGAAAAACAAACAAATAACAATAATATAACAAAATAAACTCCATAAATGATGTTTAGTTCATTACAATGCATATCTCTTTGCATCAGTTCTGCTTTCATTCTGATATTTGATTACATCAAACAATATTTACAAGAATTAATCAAATTATTAGCATTGTATTAACTATCATGTTCTACCCCTATCACTTCTGATGCTTATCATTTTCTTGTAACGCAATCCTTTCATGTATTTCTACTACACTAGAGTCGCTGACCGCGTTGTGTGTCTAGCGTCTACTGTAACTCCGCATGTCTAAACGTAAGGAGACAAATCAATATTAACTTTAACTTGTTTATTCACTCTGTGTTTGTCACTATAAAGCACTATTGTTGACAAAATAAAACAGCGTTTTATACTAGGAATAGGCTTTTCTTCTCAGAATCAAACGATAAATGGGGAACATAATGTAACTTTAAAAGCGTTTGCTCTTGGTACGTTTGTATCACACCATGAATGGGGTACATACACGTACTAGGAATATGCTATTCCTGTTATTATCAAACATATTCTAAAACGGAATCCGCATTTTTCACAATATCATACCATGGACTTAGCTACTTATTTTAAAACGGAATCAGCGTTTTCTCTCAGTATATACGGAATTGGCGTTTTTCTCCGTACCAAACCATGTATTTGTTTCATTCTATAAATAACTTACATATTTAGAGATTTATATGCTTTTGGTTTAACGAAGAACAATCGAACATATCTTATGCTACCTTATAGGTACTACCAAAAATAAATAAGATATACAATAAAAGTGAGACTAGAAAGATATTTGTGTATAATGTGATATTATGTTTTACGTCTGCATCAGTGATATTTGTTTATATAGCATAAATATTTCCAAAGATTTTGGGACTACGCTTCCAGGTTAATATTTAATCATGCTTTTCACTTTGCAATGCTATATACTTGAGTTAAATATATTCAAACGTTTCATGAGTTTTACTGTACTGACGTGGACGGGTAAATTAGGAAAAGATCGAATATAACCAAGTATTTCTGGGAAAGGGGACCGAAACCGATTGTTGACATACAGAATGGTCTGTTTAGCAGGTTTCACTCATTATAAGAACTTCGTTTCCATCCATGTACCAGAACAGAACTCAGTAGGGTTATTTGCTGACCTTCCGATGACACCAGGGATTTTCCATGCGGGCTTTCCTCTACTTTAGATAAGAGCATGTGCCATGAATCGTTATACTACAGCTCATCATATTTAATTTGACTTGTCAGTTTTTGACATCGTGAACAAAACTTGTTTTTCGCCGAGTCCAGTTAATTGTTATTTCGATCTAAATATATATCTACGACGGTGTTTAGTTAGGTTTGGTGTTATCTTGTTTAACGTCCTATTAATAACAGAGGTTATCTAAGGACGTGCCTACATATGTGTTGTGTAAGCGTGCATGCGTGTATGTGTGCCGAAGACAGGGTATGTTGGAGTACTTGCCTCCTTGTGATAGCGTAGATCTGATGCCGACTTTATAGTGTTATCTCACTGAAATACCATGCCGAGGGCACGCAGTACAGTACTCCGCCCTGTCACAGTATACTGACAACGGGTCAACCAATTGTTGCCATTCCCCTTATTGCTAAACATTAATTAGGGAATAACAACTACTATTTGTATAGACTTTGTATGTCCTGGCCTGCGCACAGGACCTATTGTCTTTTTAATCTGGGCGATCGTTCAACATCAAAGCCAAAAGTGAGGTTTTGCTAAGCAAGGCGATAGGAAATAAAAAGTAGTTAGAAAGAGAAAGACATGTAAAGATCCCCAATCTTGCTAAGGGTTCAGCAGATTTATTTTGGTATCTTTTGTGCGCCCAAGTAGAGGACACAAAAGCAAATCCCCAATTCTGCAAAGGGTTCCCATATAAGCCGCCTCTAACGAAACATGAAGTGGGTAACAGCAGGTATATTCTTTTCTCGAACCCCGACCTGCAGGAGTGCCGAACGGTGTGAGGAAAATGGTTTTTGGACTTATTTGTTTAGTAGTAGTAACTATAGAACATGTTCATGGTAATATTGTATCCTAAGACTGTAACTAAACAATGTTCGGCCATTTAAGTCAAAATGTGACCAAATAAGGAGGCGAATGTAATGCAACAGACTGTAGCTGTCAAATCCTAAGGTGGGTTAAACACAGGATCAAAGCCTGAGGTGGGTTAAACACAGGATCAAAGCCTGAGGTGGGTTAAACACAGGATCAAAGCCTAAGGTTAATGGTGTCTTCACATTGTTGTCGTTCTGTATGTTGTATTTTGGTATCGACGTTCAGTTTGGACTTTGCTCCCGTGTCTAGATGAGTATTTCATTCCATGTTGAATGTGCCTTACCAAAGTGTTACCACATGTACAGACACGATACATTACGTATGTTACTGGATGGAGTCAGCCAGGTCCCTGGGTCGCCATGTGAATCCTGATTTAATTTCGTCCCACGTTAGTGATGACGCCACGGCAAGCCATGTCGGTGGTCTTGCCGACCCGTGTTAGTTTCACACTTTCTTAACTCGGCTATAATTGACCTTGTCCCATTCAGCGTGGTATCGAGGTCATGGTACGGTGACTGTAGTACAGAATCGAAGTATTGGTTTGGTGACTGTGACTCAAGTACAGCATTCATATTAACCTTTACCAGCTGAACGAATACATGTATAGCGCATTCAAGTCCCTAGTGTCTACGTATAAAATTCTACTAGGGTGATAAAATATATCCAATCATCTGTATATATGTTTTTCTTGAATGAAGGCTTTGATTTCGTGACACTTACTACCAATACTGGTATTGTCAAATACCTACAATTCGACTTTGACCCTGATTTAAAGTTTGATATGTATTCCGCCACTGGGGTGTTTCGTTTTTACTGAAACGTCGTTCATCTACTTAAAGTATCAACTCCCCACTAACCCTATATCGAGCTGGGTCCACTACGCATTATAGTTGTAAACAGACTTCTCCAAAGTCCTATACCTATGTTTAGATATTATCGAACTTCGATAAACCTTGCTGGCGTACCTATAAACCAAGGTTCGCACTCTAACTCAATGCTCCTCCAAACACGTGCACATCTAATATGGTAGCTCCAATTAGATTGACTGATGACAGTCAGTTTAGGAGGAACGAATTAATTTCGATAAAACATCTTAGTATACTTTTTACAAGAGTCTCTCGCAATAGTTTAATGCTCGGCAAAATTCATCTCTATTTGATAATGCATATCTGGATGATATTTCTTGAACGATGTATCATATTACAAATACAAACGCTTAGTCCATTATTTTTTTGATATTGCAATCACATTTGCTGGTACAGCTGTTACATTCATGTCAACGGAATTCCTGCCGTCAGGATAATTGTGTCATAATCTCTTACATCATATCTTTTAAGTAGGTAAACATCTCCTGGTCCTCTTTATCATTAAATGTCATCGTTTTATCTGCTCATATACAAACCACGCTGTATTTTTATTGCGTTCTTTAACAAAGATCATTGTTAACAAAATTTAAAAAAAAATCAGTTAATTTGTAAACACTTTATAGAATTTCACTATTCGTTATAAAATACGTTTAGTCAAAACGCTTGAAATCACAAGTTATAATTATAGAAAAAGACAAAGGTTCAAATTCAATAAGATGACAAAATGTATACATGATTCTCAAGAAGCTATGTTAGAACAATTCCATTAAGACAAAATCCTTTTTATTTAAAACTGTACCAATCAAAGTAACTACAAAAAACCCAACTATTGACTTCTTTATCAGCGGCATACAGGGAACTTTCCTAATAATCAAAGACAACACACTTAAGTTGCAAGGACGGTTTAGTTAAGCAGCAAATATACCTGTTAAATAATCACACAGTAACTGCACCATATCACTTTTCTTAATGAAAACACCAGTCTCCCTTAGGGTCTGTGTTGGCTTACTGTGATTGATTTAGTAACTTCAAAAGCCCAGATTAAATAACTGGACTATTATCCGACAGTGTTATTGTTCTGAGGAGTGATGGTGTATGACAGGCTGATCTGGTTGCTTGCCGTTGTCCCGATTCCTGGTCATAAAAAGGATTGTTATATTAAAATACCAACGTTCACGCGTAAATATTCTTTTGTCGCTTATCTTGAAATAATCACTGGAAACGGCAGGAACAAAATGATTTTCTATTCCCGTCATATATAACCACAAATAACAGCTATGTTGTGGTGTGCTATTCCCGTCATATAAAACCACAAATTACAGTTATGTTGCGGTGTGCAATACTCACTTAGTAATTAAATTATTTCTAATTATTGAGGACAAACTACATATTAGTCACTTTGTTATTGACCAATTAACAGGAGGCACTGGCTGATAGACGCCTGTTTTACTTCGGTATGTTTTTAGACTAGCATCACCTGTGGATGAACTGATAAATCCGCCTCTCTACACACATTCGTACAACCAAACGGCACGTGACTATCCTATTAATTCACCAATTGTCTTTATGGGCGTACATTTTGTATAAATATTTAATGGCCAGGCCTTACCCGTTTACCTTACAAATATAATGATATAACGGGCACGCAATATCCCTGAATCGACCGGATATCACGTGATCACGTGCTGCTGACGTTCGACAAGAAGTTGACAAAAGTGGGTGTCGCTCCACTATATCAGGCAAAGCACGTGGCTCACTTCCAGAGAAAGATTTTCGGTTTTCGCCCATCACTGCTGCAGCAACAGAAGGAAGAGAGAACATTATATTCGACAACATGGTTTCAGGACTTCTCTCGGGCTGTGTTTTACTTGTAGCTTTCTCACTATACACAGAAGGAAAGGTACGTGACTTTTACTGCATATTTAAACATTTCTTCCTTTTTAAAATGATTCTTCAGTACTATTTATCGGTGTTATAGCTTGTTATTACTGGCGTGTTTTTTAATAAGTTTGTTAATATTGCCAAAAACATAGAATGTTGTAGTGCATTTTTCTTTGTGAAACCAGAAATCACATTATCATTTATTGGATGTTTTTAAATTTAAGTGGGATTATTTTTGAAAGTTTTAAGGTAACTTTCGATAACAGATATAATAGATATTTTGATGATTGCATTTAAATAGGTTCCTACTTGGTTGAGGATGTCTTGTACTTTTCTAAATTCGTTTTAATCACCCTAATGGATTTTTATTTCCCAGGGAACATTATTGGATTAGAATTATTAACTAACTTCTAAATACAATGCTAACAGCAATGAACTGACAGAATGTAGAAAGTGCACTGTCGTATCGTTAATAAAGATTAACCGTCAAAATGCTGTTAGTGTCGTTCTTCCTCGAAGATCATATCCTTATCGATGAGTCTTTAGGATTAATCAAACATTTAAGTTTAAAAAGCAAACAAATAAAACAGCATTTATTTTTCTTTTGTTTTAAAATGTTTTTCTTGAAAATTTAATTCCGGTTGTTTGTCATTTGAATTTTTGTTCTGAAAGTAATACACTGCATACTGTCAGCTTATTTTGTAGTCATTTTAACAAAGTATCTGCACAATATCAAATATATCCTTATCTGTAACGTTTAATTATGGCTGTTTAGGATATACCTAATCCTTCTTACATCTTTATACATCCCCCTCAAGCATTTAACATCATTTTAAAAATAAATCACTGATTGCAATAATCCATCGACAGCTATATTGTTTATTATTTAACTATGCCTATCATTTAAATTAATCCGTTCTGTTCGTCCTGCATTTTATTGTCCAATGGAGATTTTTAGATTGGCAGAAACGACGGATTGTTTTAGTTGCATTAGATCGATAGCCATATCAAGTTATCTATGTATTTATTGACGAATTTGCTATAAAATATCGACTCTCAATAAACTGTCAATATTTACTTGATACAGAATTCCCTGGAGGGGGTTCAATTGGCCTCTTCGTGTTTGGCCTTCGCTAAGCACCATTAACCTCTGTAAAACCCATCCACATGCTTCTACATGTAATAGCTATGACAACGGAATTCTGGTCTGAAGTCAACCAACGATTTAATCTCAGATAACACGTTATAATTAATCTGTCCTGTTATGCAGAACACATGGGAATTTATTTTCATTAAGTCTGAAAACGGAAGTAAATCATGATTTTGATATATCAGTGATATTTATTGTAGCGTTGATGGTGATTCTAACCTACAGTGTATTTCACTTAACTACCTAAGTTGCTTTCTTTAGACTTGCTGATTACTCATAAAAAATCACTATCGATACCACAAAGAACGCTAGTGAAAACCAAAAAGGTACATATTCGATACCAGAAAGTACACTTAACATAACACAAAGTGCACTTGCAAGAAAATACACCATCAAAACCACAAAGTATACCAACGATACCAAACAAGTACACCAACATACCACAAAGTACACTAGCGATAACATACTATTCACTTAAGGAATGATTTTTATTTTTTCAACATTTATGAGGTCATAACAACAATGGGTTTATGGACATATTGAATGAATCGCGCTAGCGATTCATGTAAAATATGTCCAAAAACCCATTGTTGTTATGACCTCATAAATGTTGAAAAAATAAATATCATTCCTTATATTTACATTGACGAATCCTTTCAGTGGATCGATATAACAACGAATAAAACAAATAAACAGGGTTTGTTCCTGCTTATACACGGGTGCAACGCAGTGGCGAGAACAGTGTTTTTTCGCGGGGAAATGTGACACTATCGTGAGAGATCTTAGCAACCGTCAACAACAATAACACAACAAAATGTAGTTCCATATTCAATGTTTATTTGTAGCACAGGACACGTGAATACGTGGATATTTCACAAAGCACAGTTCAATAATATTTTAAGATGTAAGAATTAAGCATCTAGGTCGGTCGTTACGAGTGAGTAGTTTTTGTAGTGTATTACTACGCAGTGTGATCAGGTTACTATCAGTTCCCACGTGCTGAGATTCTATGAACACCTGTGTTATGCATTTATGAATGTAATTTTTGTCAATGGGTCTAAGCATACAGAATGTAAATATTAAACAATGAAGGAAGTTCACTAGCGATACCACAAAGTACACTATACATAGCACAATATACACAAGTAATCCCACACAGTAAAACCAGTCTACACTAGTAATACCACAAATTACACCAGCGATACCACAAAGTCCACTAGCGATACCACAAAGTCCACTAGCTATACCATAAATTACACCAGCGATACCACAAAGTCCACTAGCGATACCACAAAGTCCAATAGCGATACCATTAATTACACCAGCGATACCACAAAGTACGCTAGCAATACCATAAATTACACCAGCGATACCACAAAGTCCACTAGCAATACCACAAAGTACGCTAGCAATACCACATATTCAGGCTTGGGTGAATTTGGTTTTGTTTTTCTTTAATAACAACTACACCAACTATATATTACGAAACGCTATAAAGCGTTACAATGACAAGTGGTTATAGATACTACAACGATACTATCATTAATTTGTATCATGTACATTGTGCTTATTGTCGGTATCTTGTGATCGCTCAGATACCTCGGTAGAGCTATGACTTAAATTTACTGCAGATTACTATTACACTAATAACTGGTTAAATAATAACTGTTACAAAGATAAATATTCCTATGAATACTATCGCAATAATAACTATTTCATTGATAATTATTACGATAATAACTTCTACAATTGTTATGATTGCAATGTTTTTTTTTACAGCAATCATTAATAGTAACAGCAATAGTTAATACTAACTATTTTAATTATTATTATAACATAGATCACTATATTACTGCTGTAAATTGTTTCTATTACATTGAAAACTATTTCAATGATAATGATTTAATTTCTATTACAATGAGTAGCATAGCACTGATAACCTATACAAAGCTTAGTATAACATTGCCAACTACATGTATAATTAATGAGTATTATTGTATTGAATACTATTATAATGATTACTATATTATTACAATGATAATTATTTTAAACTACTTGAAATAAACGGATTTACGCAATAAAAAAAAGGAAAGGAAAAGAAAATAATTCTCTTTTAGATTATTTCATCATAAGTTAAGATATTAAATATACATAGTTGCTTCAACGTCCAGAGCCAAATCGGGAACTCGAAATCGGAGAGAGGAAATTTAAACGAATCGGCTTTTATAACTTCTGTTAATGGCCAATGAGGATATAATTGAGAAACCTGTTTACCCGCTTGTCTTGCCAGCCAGTATCTATTACGTGCAACAAATAGGTAAATTATGTAAGTTTAATTTTAGTCGTATACGTTAACAAACAGTAACCAGAAAGCATGTTTACTAAATGTCAACTAGAAAAACTTCCTTAATGCGCCACCTGAACCATCCTCACTCATTAAATAAATAACATTTCCACATTTCCAGCTTACATACAGTTAAACCAACCAATTATCAGTCGGATGTTCTTGGTAGCATTAGAAAGCTGTTACGTAAATGCTTTTCTTTGTTCTTTGTGTCATTCTAAACCTAGTGTTCCGAGGAAATTGTCTCCTTGAAAATATTGGATTGCAATTTCCAGACTGCTGTCCAAATCTTTCATTCCTGTACAGTTGTTTTGTTTCTTTTTAAACATCCAGAACATTTGGGTTACAAGACCTTAGATACCACTGGTGTTCTATCTGTGTAACTTTACGCAGGAGATACGACATTTATTAACTAATTATGCAGATTCCTTTGATCGAGGTAATGGTTCAAAAGGCTGAAGTAGTTTGGTTTGGTTTTGTTTTGTTTAACGTCCTAACAACAGCCAATGACGTGCCTCCAGGTGTGCTGTGTAAGCGTACATGTGTGCATGTGTGTATGTGTGCCGGAGACGAGGTATGTTGGTGTACTTGCGCGAATCTGTCGAGTGCTACCTCACTGAAATACAATGCCGAAGGCACCGCACCCAGCACAGCATCCCGCCCGGTCACATTATACTGACAACTGGTGAACAAGTTGTCGCCATTTCCCAAAATGCTGAAATTTAAGCAGGAAATAGCAACCACCATTTTAAAGGAGTTTGTTATGTCCCGGCCTGCCAACAGAACCCATTGCCTTTCTCACATGGGCGAATGCTCAACATCAAATACAAAAATGAGGTAGTGTCAAACAAGGCATTAGAGATGGGACAAAAACCTTAGTATGTAGGGGTCCCACATCTGTAGCCTCCTACGATAACCGGCAGTGGTTTACTGCAGGACTACCAAGGTCCCGAAACTGCAGGAGAACCAGTGTGAGATAAATTCGTTTATAACAAGTGGAAAAGAATGGCAGAACGAAAGAAGGCATACACAACGAAAACACATAAAAATGCAACAGTAAATGGGTTAGACAGTTTGAATTTTTTTTATAAAACATAATTACACGTACCAATTACGAAAATAAATATGGTGTGATTCGTTGTGTTAATTACATTACGGAAAACTCATTTGATAATAATATTTGAAAGTAAAGTTTAACTAATGTATGTTAGTAACATTTTTGTGTTATTAATTTCACAATTACGTATAGAATGTTTAAAAATCGTTAATGTTTACAAAGCATCTGAATGTCATGTGTCATTGGGCATACTGTAGCATTGGGTTTGGTGAATATAGTGCTATATTACATAGGGGAATTCTTTGAAACACAAAATACTGCTTTAATTTTCCTTGAGATCGCTGGTGCCGGTAAATCTTTTAAGTTGATTTATATCTGGTTACACGAACAGAAGATTGTAATCAACAAAGTTTGGTCAGAGACATTTAAGAGATTTATGAAAGGGGCGAAAATTAATTAATACAAAGA